ATTCTTTCAGTTTTGGAGAGACGTACCACCAGCCGGGCACGAGTTTTGGGTGGCTTTGTGCGAGCTGGCTAAGTAAGTTATTGTTTCTTTTCTTCTTTGGTTTTGTTAGTAACTTTTGGCTTTTCCAGGTTTGTAAAGGAATATTTCGCGATGGAAGATTGTGCGATGACCACTGTTAGAGCGCAGGCTCCACTTGTACGAGGTGGAAGATTGTTTTGTAGTGTTTTTGAGACTAACCTTCACTTTTGCCAGGTTATATGGCAATGCTTCCAAAAGCTCTTGTCTCTCTTATGCAAGAAGCTAGATGCCGGGATAAGGAATTCTGGCCAGATGACTACAAGCTGGTTGACATTGCAAAACGGATGTGTGACAAATATGATGCAATGATCCCCCCTGTAAGTCATTCTGATTTGATTTACTAAATGTCTTTTGTTTTTTTCTTTTGTTGTGTTTGTGCAGGAAATTGCTGTTCAGCCAAAACATGTGGAGGAGGAAGACTTCACAGCAAAAGAGTACCCCTACAGAGCTTGTAAGATACTTCGAGGTTTTCTGGGGGAGAGGACGATCCAGCTACATGTTCCACAACCGGAAACGGCTTTTTACGACGACAAGTATCATAACTGAATTGGGGTTGGGATCTAAGGCTTGGGTTTTTTTTTATGGAAGGTACCGCACGACTACACCTCTAGAAGATTTCTCAGGTGTCCGGAATGAAGTACCGGTTGCTCTTAAGCTTGATGACGAGAATCTGGAAGCCTTGGAGGATCTCCTTAGTTATACAATATGGAGTTTCAGGGAGGGTCTTCCAATTTTGGTTCCACATCTTCACGCACTTTGAGGTACTGTGGAATTCTAAAAGCTAGAAGTGGAATTCTAAAAGCTCTTTCTCTTTTTTTGAAGCAATGAAATTGAAGCATTGACCTCGAGGCGTTAGCATCTTGGGAAAACAAGCCGTGGAAAAAAAATCACATTTTAGAAGAGGGGCAGGTTAACTGCGGGAACGATAGTTCACACCAGTTGGAATTAAGTATCATATATATGGTACGAACATCACTGGCCTCTGGAGGTTTGGATCAATTGTTTCTCTTAGTGGAAGCTACTAGTGATGCTAACCGGCCATCTACTGTAAGTGATGGTTTCTTTTGGTTTGCTTCTTTGTTTCTCCAGGCCCTTGCAAGCGTGAGTAATGGTTTCTTTCTCCATCACTGTTGGAAGCGTGAGATGGTTTATTTCTTTCCTTTTTCCTTGTTTTTCCTTCATCGATGGTTTGCTTCTTTAACATTGTTTCTCCAGGCTCTCAATTTGGTGTCACTCATTGTTGACAGCCCCAAAGACCAGCGAAACTGTAACGGACCTCTTAATAAGCAGTGCTATCATCCTCCAGGAGGGAGATGGCAGCGGTGGTGCCATGGATCTCAAATTGTTGTTCTGAGCTTCCTAAAGTTCTAAATAAAAGCTTCCAGCGGGAAGGCTGCTCAAGACCTCAAGCATGAGTTTGAGGATGAGTATGATTTCCAAATTGGAAACACCACCTTTGGTTGTTCTAAAACTCCCTTTTCAATTGCAAGAAAAAGACTTAGAACTGAAGAATTCGTTTTCTTTCCTGGTTTTGGGCTCTGTAATCGTTTTTTCAATAGCTGCGATCGATCCATAGGACGACCTCAAGAGAGAGAACTGCCATTACTTAAAAAATATGTCTTGTATGTAACAGGTTATATGGAAAGGTGGCAAAGATTTGCCTTTTAGCGAACGAAGATCTGCTGAGGTATGTTCTTGTTGCTTTTATTTCCCTCAGACTAAAGGCCCCTCACTGAAAAAGCAAAAGGTAAAACAAAACGTTGAACCTGATTTCCAAACTTTGTTTATATTAGAACAAATTCTTGAAACACTCTTCTAAAAAAAAATCATATCACCATTCATCAAACTGTTGGACTGTGCCCTACGTTGGCAGTGCTGCCCTCCAATAGCCGCTGGCACCACAACCAGGTCAACGAGTCAAATAAAGTCAATCACCTCAAACCTCAATAGTTTTGTGAGAGAGTTTGAAGTTTGGGGTGAGCTTGGGACATAAAGCATTGATCATAAAGCATGGCTGCAAAGAAGAAGGTGGTGTGGTGGAGCAAGATTTCCATTTTTGCATTCATGCTGCACTGCTAGACCATAAACAGCATATAGATAGATAAGTAGAGAGTTCTTCAGCTGAGACATCCATCTGTGATCTACCTGGCAGCACCACAAATGAGTTCCGCTTTAGGGGATTCCACACCGCAAACCTCCCGCTGTTTACACCCCTCGAGGCGGAGAAACAAAGCAGGCCACCGGCATAAGCAACGAGCTCCCAGTCCGGATCTTGCAAAACAGCTGTGCCGCTGCTACTGAAAGGATCGTAGATCTTTAAGGACGACAAACAGTAGTGTTGGACATGATCTTGTGTGTATTCAAGAACGAGTGGATGCTGCCTCGAAATCTCTAGCCTGGCTTTGGCAAATTCCTCACTGTCAATCACTGCTCTCCATCTGTGGCACACAGATCTTGCGCGTAGCAGACTTCTTACATGCAAGAACATTAAAATCCTCTCCTCTACATGCTCTGGAAGCATACCAAAAGCTAGCAACCCTGAGGCATATTCTAGGCATAATTATAATATTCCCTTCCATAGACAATTTTAGAATATTCTTTTCAATGCTAAACCCTAAATCCTCGCAAAATGGGGAGAAAGGGCACCGTGACGCCTCTGGCGGAGCTTCTCCCCGTGGGCGAGCTAGCGCAGGCCAGCGATCGCATCCAGGGCGCCATCCGCGAGCACGCCGACAAGCTCCAGCAGCTCCAATCTTTCGCCGACGACAACCGCGCCATCCACAAGCTCGTCCAGGAGCTCCCACACAATGTCGCTTACAATATCATGGTGTGTATCTCTTTTCCATCCATTTGACGATCCATCCATCCATCGCAGGTGCCGTTTGGAAAAGCAGCCTTCTTCCCCGGAAAGCTTGTTCATACCAATGAAATGCTGGTAAGAAATTCGCATTGCTATTTACACTTCTTTCTCCTTAGTCCAGGTTTTGCTCGGAGAAGGCTACTACGCAGAGCGATCCGCGAAGCAAACTCTGGAACTCCTAACGAGACGAGCAAAGTTTCTCGACTCCAACATCGAGAGCATCAACTCACAGATCGCTGACCTTCGAGCGGAGGCCACTTTCGCAAGCACTGCTGCCGAAGAAGCTGCTGTAAGTTTGTTTCTTCCTCTTCTATCTCTCACGCATTCGACAAATCCACAACCGTGGTTAGGCTGGCGTAGTGGACATCAGAGAAGAATACGATGAAGAAATCGATGGTCCACCCCCCACTGCGGAGCAAAGTCTAGAAACCCAAGGTGTGAAGTTTACATGGATTTTTCCCGTAAGCGAGTTTACTGATTCATGATTTTGGAAGGGAAAAGGCCGCTGGGATCTGGTGAAGATCTCGAGCATGAGCGCTTGATGGCACGATTTTCGGAATTGGAAGCCGAAGAAGCGGCAGCAGCGGCTAAAGAATATGAGGATGAGTATGATCAAGATGGTTTTCTAGATGATGACACTCTTGCGAAAATGGAAACACCATCTTCTGAACCGGAAGGACCTCCTGCCATCACAAATCCGGGCGATCTCGTAAACGTAAGTTTTTGAGCCTCGATTGTTTTGTTTTCGAACAGCCTCTGATAGAACTTCTCCTTTTTTTTGTCCAGTTTGAGATGTGGAAGCAAAAGACTTGGAACAAGACGTCTACGTCTACTCCAGATCGTCCCGAGAAGCGAAATCACGACAAGAAAGCGGAAAAGCGCGTCACTTTTGATCTTCCCGAGGCCGATATCGTCGACACGATGCACGAAACCGAAGGGAACAAGGCTATGGATCCACAGAGCCGACGAAGTTCCCAGCATGAGCCATCAAAGGTAAATTCGTAGAGCTTAAGAAAAAATCTCAAAAAGAAGTTTTTTGTTTCCAGGTATTTGGTTCTGTGATCGAACGAACACCAGGAGGTGCTGTTCTTGATACCAAGGTAAGCTTTAACATTTCTCTCAAGCGTCAACTTATACAGCTACGATCAATCCAGGTACCCGAAAGCTCCTCCATGCCGGCAAGGCCAGTTTCAAGATTCAAGCAAAGACATGGTGGATGAAAATCTCTGCAAAGTAAGAGAGTGTAGTTGTTTTGGATAACGCGAAGAGAGAAAATTCCCGTATCTTCGTTTTCCCGATCCTTTCTTGCGCTTTTCCTTCGCTTCTTTCCCCTATTTCCCCCGCAGATTGATCGATATGCGCGTCGCCGCCATCGGCCGGATGCATTCCAAATCTCCGCGATTAATTCTCTCTCTTCGAGCTCACGCTCTCTAACTGCCCCATAGTGTTATGCTTCTGCAAGCATCCAAAATCAAGACTATACAACGGGAAACTGTGCAAGCTCCATCATCCATTCTCGCTGGGGCATTCCACATCAAGATTCAAATCAATGATATCCGAGGCCATAGTCACCACTTAAATCCTTTCAATACAGGACCTTGTTGGAATAGAGCATTATTATCAGACAAGTGATCATCGATGTGAATTGCTGCGACAAGTTCTTTGGTGACTTGACGTTGATAAAGAATGTCAAATGCTGGAATTGGCGACCACAAGTAGCTTAAATTTCGTCGCGAGCAAAAAATTGTGAGTTTTTTCTCCTCTCCCTCTCCCTCTCCTCCTCTCCCTTTCCCCCTCCCTCTCTCAGGAATCCTAACCCTCACCACAACTTCCATTTCGCATGTAAAGCCAAGCTTGGCGTGGGACTTTTCCAACCCAGACTGAAAGGCTTAGCATGAGGCCTCACGTTAATTTAATAGCTCCTGCACCAAGCCAAAATTTAACGTGCAACTTCACACTAAGGCCATTATGTTGGACACTTAAGCGTGTGGCCTCACACCAAAGCCAGTCACTTCTCCTGAAACAGATAGTCATGGAAAAGTCTAAGCATGAGGCCTTGTGCTAAAGTCAGTCACCTTTCCTATTGCCATGAAAAAGTCTAAGCGTGAGGCCTTATGCTAAAGCTAGTCACCTTTTTTATTGCCATGAAAAAGTCTAAGTGTGAGGCCTTCTGCTAAAGCTAGTCACCTTTACTGAAACAATAGCCAGAAAAAATCTAGCATGAGGCATCGCACTAAAGCCAGTTACCTTTCCTGAAACTAATAGCGGGGAAAAATCTAAGCCTAAGGCCTCATGCTAAAGCCAGAATGAAAGTACAAAACAAAAAAATTCCTTAGCATGAGGGCTCGCACCAATGTTTTAACTTAAGGCCCTGCACTAAGTCTTTTGGTGAAGCCTTTAGCATGAGGCCTCATGCCAAGAAAAGCCTTCATTGCATCAGCACACCTAAAACCCACCCACAAAAGTATGGTGTCCGACCTCACGTAAAAAACTTAGGATGAGCAAACATCTAAACATACAACCTTCCACTATTTCCCAGTCTTGCAAGTGTTTGGGGAGTAATCTTGTTCGAACATTTACCCCAAAGATGAATTAAGATTACTCACCTAGATACCTAAAGTAATAAGAAACAAATGCATATAAATGAATAGCATGAGGCCTCATGCCAAGAAAATGATTTTATCCCTCCATAATACCTTAATCCAATTTGCAAATGAATGGTGTCCAACTTCACACAAAAACCTTAGTGTGATCACGCCAAGAAAAAAAGCCCACCCACCTCCTCTAGCCTAGTTTCTCGACAGAAATCTCCTTTGCATGCATGTTTATTGCACAAGTGAATAAGATTGTCACCAAGAAACTGGGAAAAATATCACAAGCAATCCTAAGTGTGAGGCCTTGTGCTAGTAACCTCTATCAACACATTGTGACTAGACTCATGCTTAAGGATTAGTATAAAGCCTCATGCTAAAGTGCTAAAAGGATTTTGGTTAGTCTAGTTTCTTGATGGTAATCTTGCTTGAACATATGTCCATAGGATGAATAGGCAAGTAAAATTATTATCAAGGAATTGGCAAACACACCCCATCCATTCTTAGGTGTGAGGCCTTATGCTAATAACCTCCTATAGAATTGCCTCCACTACCCCTTTTATACACCCCATCCATTCTTGAGCCCTCATGCTATTAACCTCCTATAGAATTACTTCCATTACCCCTTTCACTTAGGGTGAGGCCTCACACTAGGATCCATTCTCTCCTATTTCAAAAATATTTTAAGTAATTCTAATAAGTTCTTTCATGTTTTTAGGCATAACAATCTAAAACACTTTTACATGAGTTCATCAGAGTGAAAAAAGGCTGCAACTCCACTATAAGTGACTAAATTTTCTATTTTACTTTAGTCACTTAACCACACATTTGACCACTTAACTACACCTTCGACCACTTGGAAGAGTCTCACTTACAACCTCTATAAGTCTTATTCCGAACTTGGGGCTTATTAGCCCCGAGAATGACATCCTTGTCACTCAACTTTTGCACTTGGTCCAAGTGCTCCACATATCCGATCCCATGACCGACACCCAAAAAAACCATTGATATATCAACCTATTATGCTAAGGCCATTCCCATTCACCTTTATCACACTAGTGATCCAACACCATCTACATCACAATCCTATCTCTCAAAGTCGAATGAGTGATCATCCTAAATCCACTCTTTAGCATCCTTAGGATGCCTGCAAACATGGGGAGTATCCTTCCCCAATATCTCTTTTTTGATCCCCACTAAATCCCTTTTTATCCATGGCCATGTTCACCAATATTGTCACTAGGTCAAGGCTTACAGACTCGACCACTAAGTCTCATTATCCTCTGGGACTTCTTCACCATGTGACCATATCCTTGGTCACTACACCAAAAGATTGCTCTTTTTCCTTTCCACAGTCTGGGGCTTTGGGACAACATTTCAGAACATCATGGCCCTACGCAAGCCTCATGGGTACTTTCCCCACTTTCTGCCTTTGGGTGCTTTATCCATGGGGCTAGAGCAAAGTTCTGTTGAGCCACGCCAGGTATCCAAGCAAGTAATGCCACCCATGCTTGGATTGGGAGCATCGACCATTCAATCTCCTAAAGGAGCTAGAGCCAGCTTTTGAACACTTCACCAAGCTACCTTGCTTGTCTGTTTGTATTCACTTTAACTTTAGACTCTTCAGTGGATATATCATCACCCAACACATGGGCATAGCCTTCTTCGGTCACACTAGCCTTTCCTAGCCAAATTGGATCCACTAGGGTTCAACCCCCACACTCTCCCTACTATACTTTTGGAACCCTTTGCACCCACCCACCCACCCTTTCCCCCCCTTAGGGGATGATCGCTTTAGGCTTTCACCCAACAGTCTGTATTAGTATTCAGACTTGGACTTGGACTTGGACTTGGATTTGGACTCAGTTTTGGACTTGGTCTTGGTCTTGGTCTCGGTCTCAGTCTTGGTCTCGGTCTCAGTCTTGGTCTCGGTCTCAGTCTTGATCTTAGTCTCAGTCTTGGTTCCATTTCGGATTCCATCCCGGATTCCATCCCGGACTCTATCTTGGATTCCATCCCAGACTTCATCTCGGACTCCATTTCAGGTCCATCTTGGACTCCATCTTCAGTCCATCTCAGATTCCATCTCGGGTCCATCTTGGGTCCATCTCGGACTCCATCTTGGACTCCATCTCAAACTCCATCTCGGATCCATCTCGGACTCCATCTCAGACTCTTTCTCGGACTCTTCCACATGTTATGTGTTGGTCCTCTTGTGTCTCTTTTTTATAAACTCACTTATTGTTTGCTTCGTGCTCGTTCCTCGAACACCTTTTTAGGAGTTCCACTCTCGCTCTTGACTTTTCGAGTCAGAGTTTTTAATCCAAATGTGTTACACTCATTTAGCTTCCGCCTTAACCACTACTATGTGGCACCCTTTTGGCTCTTCTTTGGGGCTTAGGGATTTTGTGTCTCACATCCACACTACCACAGAAGTGAACATTGGAGATACAAGATGACGATCTAGTGTTTGTGGATCTCACCAACCCAAACAGTCCAACAGTCTATGGGATTGTCATCAAAGAAAAGGAGATTCTTGACAAAGACATAAACAAGGAAGGAGGGCCATTTATACAGAGCTTCAAAAGACATTCATTAGGAATATCATTCAAGACTCAGAGTTTATTCTATCAACTACAATATAGCCTGTAGAGAAAGGAATCCTTACAACCTTCACTGCTTACAGAATCCTCATGGACAGATAAGACAGATAACCTTATCAAGGGCATTGTTGTTATGGACAGTCAACAATAGGATTCTAACTGAGAGACTTTTTGATCAGAGAGAAACAGAAGAATTGGAGCATCCATTCCATGACCTCTCCAACTACAATCCAAATGATGGACATAAGGTAGATCAGGTTGTTGACGATAAACATACCTTAAGCAATACATACTCATTAACATCAACATCCAATGATCAAGAGAGTGAGTGCGATGAAGACAAAAGAGATGATGGCATCCAAGAAAAAGATAAGGTACAACACAATGATAATGAAGAGAATAATAGTAAGGCAAAAGGTGACAAAATTAGTGATGAAATTCAAGACAAGAGTCCTTCCTCATCATGAAAAGAAGAAGAAGATGATAATGAACCACCACAAAAGAGGGTTAGATGTGAACTTTGGAGCAAGGTTGCAAGCAATAGTGCAGGGATGAGTCGGGGACAAATGCCTCCATACAAAGCAAGAAGAAAAAGTGTCACGCAATAAATAAACCAAGAGACGGTAGAAATGAAGGCTCCAAAGAGAGGAGCGAAAGGGTGAAATATGACAGCACAGTTATAACAAGAGGGGTGAAAAAAAAAGATCAATGTCAATTGGACACCCTTGTTGAGGTACAAGCACTACTACTTCAATGATCAAACAATCTACAAACTTCCAATGTCTCGGTGCATCATTGATGTAGACTACAATTGCTACGTGATTGTACAGGAGAACTCAATGGATCTAGGTGATGCAATCTTAATCACTATGGATGAGGATGGTTGGACATTTGTCAAAAGGATAGGCAAGGAAAAAACAAAAAATCCAACAATCAAATTCATCATCATGTCTAGGTAGCACTTGACAAAAGCAATGCAAGAGATCTCTTTTGACCTGATATAGATGAAGGAGATGCAGGCAAAATTCTCAATGTAATACTTCTAAATCATGAAGGGATCAACACCATAGGATACCATCATTGAGATAT